TATGACTTAGTTGTGCATTTAAGTTTTTCGCCATATGCAAAAGCATGTAGATTGAATTGAAGCTTTCTACTTCCATTTTAAGGATATGAAAAAAGTTCGCTGGATTCATATATTTAAAGTCATATTAGTTGTCTTAATGTTTTTGTTACAATATAGTTAGAAAATGCAGTTTTGATTTTCATTTCATTATTTCATGGATTCTTAAAACTATGATTAAGTGCCTTTTGTCCACCATAATGTTGATCATAATTGAAAATTCAGTAGAATCACTTGGGTTTGTTTGGAAGAGGAGATAAAAGAAGAGAGAGAATTGAATGAAGATATATGGCAGTAAAATATGAGTTGAAGAATAAATGGAGTAACAATGACTCAAGGGTACTGCAAAACAAACTGTTCTTACAGACAGCTCTTTTTCGTTTTCTGTAAAATCTAATACAGACAGTTTTGGTCTTCATCTGACCTATCCTAAATTGGTTCTTCCATCCTTATCTATTACAGTTCTCTATTGTTAAATATAGAAATTGTGTTCTTCAGTCACTGAAGTTACCTACCTATTGCAATAGTTTTTATCTTTGTCCGAAAGAAAATATGTACAAGTGATTCTGGCAGTGTACGTGAAGGCAGAAAACTTCAGACAAAGTTCTCGAATTACTTTCTTTCGTTAGGAGATGGAAGAATTTTGTCTTAGCGAACCCTTATTTTTAAAAGAGCTAAAGGTTCTCTCTTTATGAGCCCTTCTAACTAACCTATGTGAAGATTCTAATTTAGGGGATTTAACATTTTGGTATTAGAGGCCCTTTTCCGAGTGGTTCCAATTCCCTACGCTACCAATTTGTTAGCATGATTCCAACTTTCTGCCAGAAGGATTCCTATCTCAAAGGAAGTTGGTGAAACGAAGATATCACTTAAGAAAAAGTCACTTGTCACAATCTATGCAACATGACACTGTATCCTAGTTTTATGCTTGTCTCTTAAGGGGAGGATGTGATGTCATGGTCCAACATGTTCAGAAAGCTTTTATTAGTTTCTGAAGAATCTCCTGCAGACAGGTTTTTATCTTTATGTGACCTGTTGTAAACAGTTTTAACTCCTGTCCTTATCTATTATAATTTCCTATTGATGTATATGTGGGAATTGGTTTCTTTGCTTATGGAAGTTTCCTATATATCTTTTGGTGTCTTTTTGTCTTTATTGTGGAGAAAATATGTAAAAAATAAGTGCTTCTGGCTGTGTATTTGCAGCCAGAAAAATTCTAATGGAGTCGGTGATACTTGCTTAATCTAGGAGATTGAAAGTTTCTATTATCGAGTCCTTATCTTGAAGAGAACCAAGGGTTCTCTGTTGATGAGGGTTTACAACATACCCATGACAAGATTTTAATCTAGGGGCCTTAACAAGTCTCTATTATAAGAGTAGGAAATCATTAATAGAATTTTCTTTTTTAATAGCAAAAGAAGTATTGTTAAGATGAGAAAGACATAATTACAAGTATGGAGAACAAGATATCCTCCCAAAATCTCGTAAACAAAAAATAATAGGACTTGAAAACCTGACTATTAGGACAAGATTATCTGAAGTACTTTATTATTCTCTATAGACTATGTAAGAATATTTTTATTCTTTAATATTCTTCAATCTCTCAGCTCGTTACAAATAAACTAAAGCAAATAAAAAGTTCAAACTAAACAAAACAAACACTTGTAGCTTGACAAATTCTACAAACTGCTTGCAAGAAGATTGACAACTAACAAGTTTCACGAACCACCACTTTAGAGGAGCTGAGCTAACAACCTTCAACAAATTCAGCAAGCCAAGACTTGCATAACGGCTCAATCGTACAATAATGAGCCGAATCAAATATCAATTTTTAGCAGAATAATAACTGTATGAACTTCTGTCTCTCTCTCTCTCTCTCTCTCTCTCTCTCTCTCTCTCTCTCTCTCTCTCTCTCGCGTAAGGCAACAAGTCTTTACGAGATCTCTCTCTCTCTCTCTCTCACTCTCAATCACTCCAGTCTTTACTGCCACAACTTTTGTAGGACAAAACTAATCCGCATTCCTTGTAAAGCTTTATCTTTGCAGTAATATTGTGGGACAACTAGTTTTCTTCCCCATGAACTAGAAACTCTAAGATTCACAACAATTCTTGTGGGACTAAGTCCTTACTCCCTTGAAAGACAAGCTCTATAGTTGACGGTAATTTATCTGAGAGGGTAAGTCTTAAGGCTCACAGTGGATTTTTGTGAGATACATATTTCTCACACCCCCTGAGCAACAAGCCCTAAAAGTTCGACTGTTATCATAAACTTTTTCCAGAGCAATGTGCCTTATTGGAGTATAGAGCACAAATTTGACAGAAGTTACCTCAATAACATACAAAGCATGACAAGAATCCTGGGACCTGATATGTAAAGCTTAAAAATTGGTCTAGAAATTTGCCAGTGGGATTGAAATTATTTAATATATTTGTTAAAATTTTATTAAATAATATAATTTATTACTTCGATGAGATTACAGTTAATAAATTAAACTTCATTCTAATAAATTACTGTAAATTTTATGAAAAAAATATTACTTAAATTTTATAATTAAAATACTTACACCGGATTAATAAACCAACATAATTTTTTTTTATTAATAAAAATTCTAGCCCTAATAATTCGTCAGAAAAATAGATGACCAATGGATCACATATAAAAATACATTTCTTGAAAATATCTAGACTTCTATCAACAAATAGAATAAACTTATATCATATGACAATAACAAGACATACTTCTACCTGACATGTAAATCAATAATTCTACGTTCAATAAATTTAAAGAAAAACATATAGCTCAATATATAAAACAAAAATATCATCCTCAAAAAGGAAATACTGATGTATGTAACAGAAAAAATGTATTAGGGTACAAAGATAAATGGTTTAAATATATATGCAGGCACAAGAATGGTACTCTTTAATCCATACTCGTATTATAGCCACTACAGGTAAATTGTTTGTTATCCGTGTCCTCACCATCAGCTGCTTAAAAATCTTTCCTCACCATTGATACACACACTCCTAGCAGACAAGTCACCATAAAATCCACCAAAATTGCCATCCCAACTAGGCCTTGGATTTTTTGCCCTTGAGTTCAGCAACTGGCTTGCTCTTGAAGGGTAAAAATGTCTTTCCGCCCATAAATGGTTGTAAAGCTTCGGGTACCTCAACTCCATCTTCCCTCTGATAATTTTCAAGGATGCAACAAATTGTTCTTTCTGTTGCTGTGAGTGTAGAGTTCAACATATGAACATATTGCTTTGCCTTCTCATTGCTCTGAAACGACAACATAAATTTTGATTTGAGATTCAGATCAGTACCGAGAAAGGGTTGTTTGTGTATGTCAAAATTTAACATTCAACTTGTTTTCCATCGAGATATGATGCACCAACAAGCTTTTGTATTTGTTTGTGACACTAAAGAAATGCAAACACGACACAATGCCATCCATATTTTATCACCATTCAGCAAAAATATGCATTTTGGAACATGAAGTGTGAAACTTTCTTCATATTCAATGGGGCTGCGTTAACAGATATACCTTCTTTTGCCCATATCTAATCTCTAAATTCCTGGACTGATAGTCTGTGCAATTTGAACAGGACACCAGCTCTCTATAAGTCTCAGATGCAGGAAACCAAGCTTCCAAGTCATATTTCTTTGCAGCAGCATCGTTCAGAGCACCAGAGACAATGGCCACAACTTGGTAGGGGATTTTTAGCTGCAATAGGAAAACACGGTTGTTACTTATTCGATCACCAACAGTTTTTTCAGTTGGATAAGTCAACAGTTTATTTTGATCAACATCATCTAATCAAGGCCAGCCTTCACAAGCTGCCTTTTGCAGTCTGACCTAGAAAATTTGCATGCATCTTCATCTATGCACATGCACAATATAACATAATCCTCCCATCCTGAACAGGTAGACTTACCACATGAGGGAGGGGGGAAAGATGGAAAAAAAACAATGACAAAGCTTGCATGTTTAACAATATAATAAAGTCAATGACAATATACCATCTTATAAAATTCCTCTGAGTTGTTCATCATTTCTTCATGCATCTCCCAAGAATCATTGCCGTTGGGACTGGTAATGCAAAACTGTTCCACTTTCTCAAATTGATGAACTCGGAAAATTCCAAGAGTATCTCGACCATGGGAACCCGCTTCTTTTCTGAAACAAGATGAATATCCAGCATACCTGAAGAAAATTGTATCCATAAGAGAGAGGAACAAGCATTGTAATCTAAACATTAATAAAAACTCCAGAAAATGCCTAACCTTAGGGGAAGCTTTGAAGGATGGATCCAATCGTCTATGTGATAAGCACAAAGTGGTTGTTCAGCAGTAGCAATGAGATATTTGTCATCACCCTCGCCACTCACCTATTAAAGAGGGGTCAAATAGACGACATATATAATCACCGAGTGATACTTTTTATAGCTAAATGGGAAATGTTCCAACTCATATATCCAGAACTTAAAAAGGAATTGCTGAAAAAAAAAATAGAGAATAACAACTAGTTAAATAGTAGGGAAAGGATTTATTTTGATACTGTCTAAACTTTAGTGAAATTAATTGAGTTCAAAGTTATTTATATAAAGTAAAAAAAAAAAAAAGAGAAAATAAGTTATGTTACAAAAAAATATGTATTCTTTCCATATCTATCTATACAAAAAGATTTTTTCTTTTTTAAAAAAAAATATTTGACTATCATACAATATATACTAAGATATACAAATTCAGGAAACAGAAAATAGAAAATATTTGTCAACCAAATGGAGGCTACCACTCACGGAAAAGAAAATGAGATATTGAAATAGGGAAGTTAAGAAAAAACAAAGATGGAATTACCTTGTAAAGCTCTTCATCAAATTGTGCTAATTGAGCACACTTTGCCATGATCTCTTTTCTCATAAAGAATGGAGTTTGCAGTGCCATATACCCCCTCTTCTCCAAAAAATCAAGACCAAAATTGATCAAGGCTTGATTAAGACGAACCCCATCCCCTTTAAGATAGAAACCTCTACCTCCAGCCACGTCAGCTCCTATGGCATAAGATAAAAAATGAACAGTCAAAATAAGAACAGAAATGCAAATGAGAACAAATATGAAACCTTCAGCATACATGCCATTTCCACGCGTTACATTCAAAATAATTTCGGATACGGCAAAATGAAAGTTCACATCATGTTAAAATGAACTGAAGAAGGGATAAAAAAGATTCATATCAACTTACAATGAAATAAAGGAAAATACTGAAAACTGAATAGCGAAGCAAATGCTGAACCAGAAAAAATTATCTAAATTTATTGAATGCCAAAGACACTGGATTTGTTGCTTTTTACAATTTCCAGCAAAATCTAAGCTTTTTGGTTTAGAATAATTCATGGTAAAATTAGTCAAAATTTTGGTTAAGTTGAAAAAAAAATGTCATAACAGTTTGCCTAACTTAAACAGAAGCCCAATAAACAATGTCAAACAAACTCAGCAAACAGCAAACTCAGCCTAGACAAGTATCCAGAATGTATTCCAACATCACGATCAAAGCACTATAGCCTATTATGCCACCATTTAAATCTCAGCCAAGACATATATCCAAAATGTATCCCAGCATCACGATCAAAGCACTATAGCCCTATTATGCCACCATTTAAATCTTGATTCCTAAAACATGAATGGTAGATCAAACAGATATTACTCTCCAAAATTGCTAAAGAGATAGCATCTTTCCCCAGATACTAAAAGTATAAGTTCTCAAATACAGAATTTAAACAAAACAATAAGGGACATGTTATATTGACCTTTTTTAGCAATACAGTCTAATATCTTAGATTGAGGTTGTTTGGTTTGACCTTTTTCAGCCTAAGCGAGACTTATAAAACTTGTAAAGTTTATACTTCAAAGTGAATAAAAATTGTGTTTAGTTAGTATAGTTTCATTTCATTTACAAGTTCTTTATAAATGAGTGTTTGATAAAATAGTACTTACAGTTAAATTTTCAAAAACTAGCTACAGGAAATGTGAATAAGATTTTTGTAATTTTAATAGAGGCATTTTGGTAAAAAGCATAAAAGAAAAAGTTAGCTTATTACATGACTTATAAGCCAAAGACAAAAAATAAATTTTTTTAGCATTTTTGTTTTGACTTACAAGTAATTGAATTATAAGTCAATTGGAGCAAAACAAACACCATTGGAGCTCATTTCCAGCTCAAATGAGCTTATAAGCTGTCAATAATAAACTGAAATCAACCACGAGAATCATGCAAGCAAACTTATCTAAACCATGAGTAGTGTTATCACCTTTCTTAGTATCTGCAATACCAAGAAGCTCAACAAGCTCAACATGATTTTTCAGCTTTTGGCCCTGTGGCACTGAAAGCTTCTCACCCCATGATCTAATCACAGCATTATTTGCCTGCAAACATCTAAGCCAATGAATTGGTCAATCGATCACAAAACAAGTGAAACATACAGGAAAAAAGTGCACTAGTTACAAACCTCATCCTTGCTCACTGGAACTGAATCGTGCACAAGGTTTCCAACTTCTGCTAATTTATCTTTTAGTAAATTAAAAGCCTCACGAACCTCAGCTTCTTTCTCTGCTGACTCCTGCTTGTTCTTCGCAGTCAACTTCAACACCTCAGACGAGTCTTCTCCCGCCTTCTCCCATAACAACTTGATCAGTTAGTTTTGTAACAAAACATACAGACATCTATAGAAATCCATGCACAATGTCATACACATCCATCATAATGTAAAATTATAAACAGAAACATACAAACATACTACAAACTTTTGAAGAGACACATACACAAACAAATTGCAAATAAGTCATGAACAGAAATATCCACACATAAGCCTTAATAGAGCACAGATATGAAAGAGCAAGTGCATACATGGGTTGTTTTATAGCAAAAATATATATTATTAGACAAAGAAAGCAAGAAAGAAACAACAATAGAACATTAGATATTTGTCCCAAAGAAAAGAAACAAAAGAAGAAAAAAGGAGAATAATTGAGTCAATCTCAAGTGTATAGTCTGCCAATCTCAACATAGAAAAATGCCCTTGCACCTTAACCCGGAGAGATACCGAAAAAGACAACTTAACCCAAAGGAACAGGAGGGAAGAAGTGATCCCTAACAATTCTGGCATTCCTCTCCTAAGCCAGAAACCAACAAGTAGCCCCGCAACACAACCTTCACCTCTTTCCTCCACAAATGCAGTAAAAAGCAGAAGAAATAAATCCTTCAAAATGCGGAAAAGAAACCAAGGTAAGATCAAGACTACGACATCACCTAACCCAGAGTCTCCATGTCATGTCACAATGCAGAAACAGGTGATTATGAGATTCAGTATTTTTGAAGCACATTACTCAAAGCCCAGGGGAGAAAGCACGAAGGTGTAGCTACCCCAAGACAGAAAAAGATCTACAAAATGCACTACAAGGAAACAAAATAAACTGTTGACTTAAAGTCTGAAACCATTGATCTGCAGTGCAACCAAAGGAGGCACAATGTCATCAAAAACTGTCTTCTTCCTTTCTTTCTAGATTACCCAAATGATAACCAACGAGATATGGGAGATAAGCTTTTCTTGTACTTGCACCCAAATGATACCCTAAGCCCATAACTCATTGGTAATCAACCCCTGCCTTCCCAACACAAGCTTATGAAGGACAGATGAATCCCATAACCTTTTAGTCTCTGCACACCTAAGAAGGAGATGGTTTAGAAATTCACTATCTTACAAGCACATTGCACCGCCAGTTGAAAGGAATCTACCACACTTTCTCAAATTATCAATCATGAGGATTTCGCCTCATGCTGCTTCCAAGAAGAGAGAGGAATACAAGAGGAAGCTCTTTTTCTTGCCAATCAACTTCCAACATGATCTTTAAGTGACCTCATTCTAGCTAGAAGATCAACTTCCAATGGGACCTTTCAATTAGCACATTGCATGCAAATTGAAATGAATCCACCACACTTCCTCAAATTATCAAGCATGAGGATTTTGCCTCATACTGCTCCCCAAGTAGAGAAAGCAAGACCAAAGAAAGCTTTTTTTACAAATCAACTTCCAACATGATCTTAGACGACCTCATTCTATATAGAAAGATCTCACAAAGAACAACCTATTCCTTGTATCAGGTCACACAGGATGGTCGCATGCATCAAGGTTAAAATGGCAAGGATCTAAGAGAGCGAAAAAAGAAACCATGTGGTCAATCTCTAATCATTAACATTCTGCAACAGATGGATATACCACAAAAGAGAATTAGCACCATTAGTAACCACAACATGGCTAACTGAAGCATCCTTATCTGTAGCTAGAGCAGAAATGCTAGGAACTCAATTTTTGAGCAGTATCTCACCACACCACCGAGCCACTCAAAAGCTCACAAGGCCATTGCCAAGTCTGAACAACATCAAGCAGATAAAAAGAGTTCCCCCCAAACCAGTAAGAAATTTTCCACCATATCTCTAACCATGAGATGGTAATCCCTCAGTCTTCAGAGTTCCCCTAACGGAAACAGTACTTTAAAGATTTCAAATTTTTGGTGACATTAGCAAGAATGGGAAACAAAAAGAGGTAACAGGTAGGCAAAGCGAAAAGAGTACTTTTGATGCGAGGGCACCAACCACCAAAGAGAGAGAACTTCCAACGCGACAATCTGTTCACCATCTCTTTGATCATAGGATCCTAGGTGCATAGATCCTTGAACTTAGCACCCCATCCCCAGACAAACAAAAAATATTTGTGAGAATGAAGTGGCCCAACACCCTAAAGGCTAGTAAATTCATCCTCCCAAGAATCAACACCAAAAGGAGACACTCCCAGCTTACTAATTAATGCCTGAGCTACCTGCAGATTCGAACAAGTGAGGATGTATCTGTATCCAACAAAAAATCCATGACAGGCCTAAAAAAAATGCGTATCATCAATGAGAACTAAGTGTGATATTCCTACTGTCCCAAGTAACAATAACTAATTCTTCAACAAGATTACAAGTTCTGGCTTGAAGAAAAGAGAAAAGAGGATCCACTTGCCTATGGACTCTAGTGGAGCAGAAGATGTCAGATGGGCTCCCATTAACAAAAACAACAACAAAACGAGTGGAAAGAGATCTTCCAGTTCACTTGCACCATCTATTGGCGAAACCATTCTCCTAAAGAGTATAGTACAAAAGACTAAGAGATATGATAAGCTTTCTCAATAGCCAGCTTGCAAAAATAACTTTTTTTGCCAGATTTAATCATGATTCACCACCTCATTTGCAATAACAGCAGCATCAAGAGCTTGGTGATTCTCGACAAAAGTATATTCTGCTTTCCCCACTACAATCACCAATTCAATCTCTTAGCAAGACCTTAGCAATGAGTTCGTAGATACATCCCACCAATTAGTAAGCATAAAATCTAATATCCATAGCACCCTCAACCTTAGGGATGAAGAGAATGGAAGTAGAATCCAAAAAAACTACAAACTTTCCTCTTTTAGTCGCTTAAACTCTTTAAAAGGCTTCATGACATCCCCATGAATAAACCTCTAGTTCTTCAAGAAAGACATAAAGAAATGGCTCGGGTCAAGAGCCTTGTCCTCAATGCAACTCAAGAATGATGCATGGACCTCCTCAATGAATAAACCTCCAATAGTTCTTCAAGAAAGAAAGAGAGAAATGGTTGGGGTCAAGAGCTTTGTCCTCAATAACACTCAAGAATGACATATGGACCTCCTCACTGAATGCAATCTTCGTCATCAGCTTCACTTGAGGCCTAATCCTATCAAGCTCAAGACCATCAAAAATACGGTGTCCACTACTCCTCTATATACAAATTGCTTTAGAGTCCCCTGAAACTGTTCCCAGAAAGATAGTAGACTATGATATGAAAGAATTTTAGGATTTTGATCCCCTTCTTTAATCAACAGGAGTCTAGAACAGTGCCTCCGAGCAATCTCCTTCAAAAGATACCATGAGCAAAATCCAACTTAGTTGTCTTCTCCTGCTTCAGCCTTGGAGAAATCAAACTAGATTCTTTTCTATCTAGCTCCTTATATACTGGTTTAGCTTTTTCCACCATTCAACCTCTTTTCCATCGAATCAATGTTCCAAGCTTAAGCTTTCCTTAACAAAGGTTCTAAAACTCTAAATCTTGTGAAGCCTAAAGGATTGAGCTACTCCCACCAAGATTGGATCAAATCATTGAAACACACCATCTTTAGTCATTTGTTTTTAAATTGGTATAGAATGGCGACCGCATCAAATTGCTTAATCCATAAGGGTTGGACCATATAATTATGTTACATGAAATGTGCCAAAACCAAAAAATCACTCCTAAAAGAAAGAAATGAACTCAAGATCTTAGGCAAATCCAAAAAAGATTTTCCGTTACGTTCATCACAAAATCTTTCCCAATAGACCTAATGCCAAATAGAAGACAAAAAGACAATATATCTCCAGCTACACCTTCATCACTCTAAATACCCAGATTCCTTATAGTCCCTTGTGGAATACACCATCCATCCAATGAATTGGTTTTGGAATGAAGATCAAAGAGACTCGAGGCGAGATATTTTGAACTAGGTAGGGTTATGATTACCGATTTGTCGAAGGATTGAGGATGGAAGTTGGTTTGCCTTCACGAGATGATGATTGACGAAATGGGTACTGACTTGGTTAGAAATTTTTGGAACGGTAGTGGAATTTAGATAATCTTGAATTGGTTAAGTGCTTGAAGGGAACCATGTCTCTGGCTTGTGAGTTTAGGAGCAAGGCTTTCTGTACCTCATGGGTTTTAATTGATATGTACAGTAGAGGTGAAGGTTTTAAAAGAGAGTTCTTATCCAAGGATTTTGAGCCTGTAGTATGCGATTGGAATCTTTCTTCGGTCATCAAGGGAGATTTTAGTATGGTCGTTAATCATCTTGAAAGATTTTCTAGGACTACATCCAATACTTGCGCTAGAGAATTCATGGATATGGTGAATGGACCAGCTAGCATTGAGGTCGAGCTTGTTGGTTGGAATGGTGCTACTCTAACCTTAGAGCGGATGTGGTGTTCTCAAGAATTTAGGGGGATAAGCTTCAACATGGGCCTTTGAGTTATCAACTTTTTTTTTAATAAAAGAGTTATCAAGTTTCTTTAGGCAATCTATACCCATTTCCTTTCTTTTAGCCAACTATATATAGGTCTTTAATTTTTTTAAGATTTTATTTCCTTCTGCATAATTTTACTTTCCTAGCAATAATACCCCACTTAGAACCCAGGGGCCAGGATTTGATCCAAGGAGCCAGCAAGAGAATTATTTTATTAATTCTTGGATATCATTGTGGAAAAATCACTAGAAGCATCAAGACTGCTGCTTACTATTTTATCACTTACTACTCTAGCTTCTTTCAAAATATCATCTGCTGTGTCACATTGTTCTTCAAAGAACCAAATAGAACAAATAATGCTATAAAATAGAAAAGTGAGAATAGCTTAGATAAAAGAAGGACTCACTATTCTGAGTTGGGCAATTTGTTTGTTGAGATGGTTGAACTCCTTTCGGTAATTTTCAACTTCAAATTGACCTATACATGTATAAAAATGAAAAGCTTAAATTAGAAAAATTATAAGAGAGCTCAAATGCACCAAAATATCTTTATGATTAGACAATTACAAGACAATATGCGACGAATGAGACAATAGTAGTTTTTAAAGGATAATTACGTTGGCGCCATTCTTTGTCAAGTTTGATGATTTCATCGACAAGATCAACACTGGCAAATCTTCGCCGTTGGGACTCACGAATTAACTCAGGGTTGTAACCCTTTTCTTCTCTAAATATATTGATATCCAACATTTCCTCTTCCTAACTCCTTGTCTCTTTGCAACTGGGAAAAGGAGAAAAGGACAAGTTATTATCAAAGCTTCATCACCACCCAAAACAATAATGGAAACAGATTAAAATAAATTTCAAAAGGGAAAAGATGGGACTCAAAAAGAAGAAAAAGATTTCTTTTCATCTGCTGGTTCTTTCTATCATAACAACTGATATATCACTCAAAGTGGCACACTGGTACAGGGACAATGCTCCTTGTGCTTGATCCCGACTTTAGAATATCCACGTCCCCGTTCATGATTCATCATTTGTGGATTATTCCTCACCCCTATTTCCACCCTTGTTCTGTGAAGAAACCCCTTCCGTTATATGCTTCTTCTTCAGTTTTATTTTTAATATATAATCTTACGCTTACAATACCAAAAAACAACTGAAGACCAGTACAACGAAGAAAATTACATCAAGAGATTGAAAAGCTAAGAGATTCATATATCTAAGCAACTATAGGAGATATAATTAAAAAAAAAGTACTTCATTCGTTATACCGTTTCTTTTTTATGCATATGGTTTATAATAAATCAACATGAATAGGCATCTCATATATTACTTTTTTTAAACCAAAGTATATAGTAACCTTACAATTTTTTTTAACAAAAGTACGTGATAACTGGCAATTTTTATGGAGGAATACTACAAGCAGAACCATTTACCTAAAAGAGGCAGGCAATAAAACCAGAACATCCTAAAGAACCATTAGACTCAAAAATCACAAACCCCGTGATCCCATAAGAAAACAAAGAAGAACATAACCAATCGTGTAACTAAGTGAAGGTCATGAAGCAATTAAATCCATCATGTGAAATAATGCACGTAAAATATTGTAAAGGGTACCATTTAGTACAATGAATGGTTAGTTAGTATTAGTGGCCATTTGCAAGTAATTAGGGGTTTGTCAGAGAATTAGTTGCAGAAGCTTCCATTAAGAAATGTACTGGCAGGCAGAAAAAATATTGGAATTCAATTAGTCCCTTCCCTCTGGAATTCTTTTATTGTCTCCTCCCCTTTGTTTTTCCCAAAATACCGATCCCCAAGTTCTGTTTCTCTTATGATTTCTGCCTCTAAATCTCATTGCTCTCATCGTTCCCCTTCTTCTGAGGTATTCTGGCAAATCATTCATATCATTCAACTCTCTATTTACTCCCACAAGTTTTATAAAACCATCAAACAAAATTCTAAGAAACAAGATAAATAATAAGCGTATCAGTTTAAGTAAGTGGTAATCTCTCTGCCATGTGCATATAAGGGTTGAATTCCACATCCCTGAGTAAGTGTTTACGGCTAAAGTACATGCAAATATACACGCATATATACACGGTATTAAGCAGTTACCACTATAAGCTAACTGTTCACTGGATCCGATTCAAGCTGCCACGCCTAGCTGCTTGAGAAGTGGAAGACGGCGCCTGCAGCAGAACAAGAGACGGGAGAGTGGAAATGGGAAAAGAACTAGGAAGCCCGACGTCTGATAGGGTGTGATTTGGGTGAGGGGAAAAAGATAGGCTTCGTGTGAAAAGGGTTCGTATGGAAGCGGGAAATTGGGCTAATCACATAGGCTCATGACCATTGAATTACTCCAAAAGCCTGTGGATTTCTATCACGGTACAGTAAGCCTGTGGATTTCTCAAACAATTCGGAATAGATTTTACCTTTCTTGGATTATTGAATCTTAATGGTACGCTAACTGATCGTGACTGCATAAATTTGTATACTTTAAAGATTCAAACTTGACATGTATACCACTATTATTCTTAATCATTCTTGAATCAAATATATGGATAAATGAATTATAACTATTTTTAAAAATAGATCGCGATCTATCTGGATATATTTACGGTGGATATATGAAAGGGATGTTATATCGATTTAATTTTATAAATTATTTTTAAATATTCGTATTAAAATAATATCAGTTGACGATAGTAATTTGAAAAAAAAAAAGTAAATTTTTAATTATTCTCTCAATTTATAATTAGATCTAATATATATGAATTTACGATTATAATTTATATAGATAGAATTTAGATTTTATTATATATAAATTTTTGTAAACTGAAATAATATTTTTGAAATAATTTTTACGGAAACAGAATATTTTTGTTGGCACGAAATTAAATTATAATTTATTATCTTTTTTATCCAAAATCATTAGTTTTTTTTTCCAAATCATGTATGATTATGTTCCAACAAGTTTCGTGCTAGAACAAAAGAGATTTCAATGTCAGGACCAGACTCGAACATGTGATTCTCCAAAATCAAAAATTTATAAAAAGATATTAAATTGAAGTGATTTTAGGGTAATTTGGTGTAACTAAAAGATTGGGACAGATTTTGAAAGAGAAAAGAGATGGTGTTTGGGAGAGAGAAAAGAGAAGAGTTTTGAGACAGACATGGCGTCGGGGAAGAGATAAAAGAGAGTTTGAGATAGAAAAGAGTCTTTACAGAGAGAGAGAGAGAGAGAGTCAATCTACATTCACTTATTTATACACATGAATCGGTGCAAATATATTCATTTGGATTCTCCAAATGTTGCCAGTCGCCGGAAATAAGTGCACATATGTTCTCCAAATGTTGCAGGTCGCCGGAAGTCACCGTTCGAAGCTAGGGTCGCGTTGATCAGAGGAAGAAGATGAAACAGGCATGAGTCCCTTCAAGTCTAAAGAAGCAGTTCAGCAGAGATGGTCAGCTCGGTTCAGAGCGGTCTGCTGATTCATTTTTTATTTATTCCTGCATATAGTTTCTAAGACCCAACTACTGTTGGTTTAAACAAGAAAGAAAATTAATTGTTCCAGGGTCCCAACATCACACCAGATAACTATCTTTTCATCTTCCTACATCAAATATTATGATCTGATCATTATATCAACTAACTTGAAATCATGTGGGCTTTTCTGTATCCATAAATGGGAGCAAAACATATTTAGATTTACAAACAAAGATAATACGGCGGAGTTAAGGACAATCATATCTCATACAAATGTTAATCAAGAATTATTGCAAATCTACAAACCCATATATAAATGTCAGATTTCTGTATGACAATATCTAACAAATGCTTTCTCACTGACATGAAAATTAATGACAACCTCGATATCACTGGGAAACTTTTGTACTAAGAAAGACTGCTCGCTAAAATTTGAAGGAAAACTCCTATTGTTCATGACCTTTATGCCTGCCACACGCCAAGAGGAAAACAGAAGAAAATCGATTCAATTAGATTAAGCAATGAGTGGAATTCTGAATTCCGAACAATGGCTGTGTCACCATACCTTGTTAGCAATGTTGTTGGAGAGCCACTCAAGTCCCTCATAAAGCCCTTCACCAGATGTGGCACAAGTACTCTGGATATACCTGCAAACGGCAAGTCAAACAAACATTTTCTTAGAAGATGGACAGACAAATATCATACAAGTTATAGAAACTAAGAAAGAAGTAATAACGCATAGGCTTCCTATCAAATTACCAGTGGCGCTGTCTAAGGGAGTGAAGACCAAGCTTATCAGTGATCTCTGCAGCATTCATAGCATTTGGAAGATCTTGCTTGTTCGCAAAAACAAGCAATACAGCATCCCTCAATTCATCCTGTACATGCAATGATTTAATAAAATATGACTACAAAACAATGTATTTTTATCAATTTTCAGGAGTTCATTAAACCACAGAGATGTAGTAAACTGATGAGTCCAATTGCACTTAATCATGGACAGGCACAGCTCGATTGGGCTATATCACCCTGAACTCAATCATGGGCATGCACAGCAAACAAAAGATCAGAAGAGCAAGCTGAAAGAGACCATCGAGAAGACCAGGAGGCATAAAAATAATCTTGGTTCCTTTCACTAAGAAAACAAAATCAAACATCAGTAAAATGCAAATACACATAGCTGTTGTTATCTTACCTCGTTTAGCATACGGTGCAGTTCATCCCTAGCTTCAACTACACGGTCGCGATCATTACTGTCAACCACGAATATGAGCCCCTGAGTGTTTTGAAAGTAATGTCTCCACAAGGGACGGATCTAAGATGAGAACAGAGATTATTAGAATGCGCAATTAAGCTCTTGTCATTCTATAATCATCTATTTTTGGTAAGTAACTCAATGAAGTTAGCTTTTAGTTCGTGTCAATTAAAAAATTTCCCTCAAAATAGAAAAGAGCACACTGGCAACAAATGCTTATGTAAGTCAGAATATCTGAAGAGTGGCATTCAAAATTGAAACGAACCAAGACTTTGACCTTCTTAAAGGAAATGTTACTACCAAGCAAAGGAAACTATTCTAGGATGATCAATAGTTGAACTGTCAAAAAAACAATGAAAATATGGTGCTCTTGCACAATCACCAAGTTGAAAATCCTGTGGACAGTCTTTGCTAAACATTTAGGAAATCCATTAATCAGTAGGTCAAATTCTATGCAAGAGATCAGAAAAATGTCTGCCACAATGCAACAGCCATTTCTTACAAAGCCAAAGGAACAACTGGAAAGACATCATGGCATCAGTTAATGTAGCTTATGAATATGTTATGTGCTGATGGATAAACATCTAGTCAGCACAAGACCGTCCATAAGCACACAGCAAATAATTGCAACTACAACAAGCTGACAACACATGCATGCTCATAATTCTGTAAAAACTAATATGACGTCCACCACGAGTGGATAGTCCTTCCTTGTGACGGTAGAAGGAAAAACTTGAAAGACAAAGTGGCGCAATCAATGTAGCTTATGATTATGTTATGTGCTGATCGAAATACATCTAATCAGTACAAGACCGTCAATAAGCACCTGAATACTATCACAGCTACACAAAATTTCCATTCTAAGTTGAAAGTTTGTTATCAGCAAAAGTAACTTGTGATGATATTATTTATGAGCAACATAGGAAGTGGTAACATTTGAAAAACACCTGCTTGCCAACAGTATCTTTTCCCTTATATGAAAAAAGTAAAATCACAAAAAATCTGAACAGAGTAATTGGTAAATGCTTATGTAACAGAAATAATTTTTAACTCTATCCAGTATTTCTCTCGTCTGAGAGGCTCAGTCACAAATCATGACAAGGCAGCATACACACATGTACCACCTGAAAATGAAGCTTAGCAAGGCTCATACATGCATGCTTGTTCACATACATAAAAGTCACATAAAAAATAGCTTTTAGACATTTTCTACACATCTGAAAGAAAAAAGAAACTCAATGGTCGATGTCACCTACACCTAAAATTGTCTCACATCATAATAAAGGCAAACCTAAATAGGGAAAAAGACTTAAATTGCTTCACAAGCACACACACCTTGTCTTGACCCCCAACATCCCACACAGTGAAGCTTATGTTCTTATACTCCACAGTCTCTACATTAAAACCTGCAAAACAACAACAAAACAGAAGGTTTGTTTGGTGAATTCAGAATGGTAAAAAATTGATAATGTCCACAATAGTTTTATGGGCAGATTTCGTACCAATTGTGGGAATAGTAGTCACAATCTCTCCCAGCTTAAGTTTGTACAAAATGGTGGTCTTACCTGCAGCGTCAAGACCCACCATAAGAATTCGCATCTCTTTTTTGGCAAATAGCCGACTGAAGAGCTTCGCAAACGACAACCCCATCTTTTTTTACCGCTGTTACCAAAACAAGAAAAAAAATCAGGGTCCCAAAAAAAAAACTTCAGAGCTATTATAGTGGATAAGGATAACTACATACATGCAGAAGCATATTATAGAGTACAGAAAAATGATGATGGGAACAGATCTATTATTGTATATCAGAAGAAAACAAGAACTCAGATCAGCCCACAAAAAAGAACATCAAGATCCTTAAAACAAGGCATCAAATCAGTTAAATAAACCCAAAGCAAGACAAAATTAAACATGGGAAAAATTCAGAACTGGTTCCAGAACCAAGAAATAAATCAGATCCGTCAAATTTAAAACAATATCTAACATAAATATAAAAAAAGAGCCCATTAACAGGCCGTCAAGTATACATTTCCTACACAACCCGCTTAAAAAAATCTTAGCTAAGTTATCACGAAAGATTATATCCCCAATCAAATTAGTAATAATAGATAGCCGATATACGTTTCTACACTCAATTCCCAATTCTACGCTTCTGGTCTAACCTGATTTGCATGTACGTTGGAAGCAGCAAATCAATTTTCTAAAAAAAATTTCTCCTCATTTGTCACAGAGAAGAAGTTTAAACACAGTTTACGTCATATAGGAAATTAACTTTCTTCTTATATTTCCCGTACATAAACGAACGTAGCATGACATCAAAGGGAAGTTTGCGACAAACAGACAGATCTGGCGAGATCTATAAACATGCATATTAAAGCGTATTCTCTGAACATCTGAATAAATCCTAATTTCAACAGGTCAACGTACAAAGAAAAGAGAGAAGAGAATGATCACTATTCAGCTAAATGTGCATAATGTAAGTCCTAGAAATCTGAACAAACAACCGCACTTATGAACAAACAAAGAATCGCACTTACGAAATCAGAGAACAACAAAAAAAATCAAATCCTAATAATGTTATAGACGTATGAAAAAGAAACTATGAAGGAAATGATCAATATCCACCGGATCTGGATCCTGGAGAGAAAACCCCCAGTTCCAGGCATCGTAGCTTGTGTAAGAATAGCAAAATGAGTTGAGAGCGAGCAGAAAACAAGTAAATAGCGTGCATATATGCATGCCCCTTACAGACATTGAGAGAGGAAGCTAACCCTACATAAAGCAGCCTCAAAAAAAAAAAAATAAACCATAAGAAAATAAAGAGATTAAATACATGGGATTAGAACAGTTACCACTTAATATCTTTGTTTACCCCGATCCTTTACAGGCTTACAGCGCCTGGATACGGACGCTAGAGGAAATGGAAGAGAAGGAGACGATCTGAGAAATAAAGAACAATCAGAACCCAGCGGCTGAGAGGGTCCCCAGGAGAAAATGGTAAAGAATATTTAGGTATTTATAGTAAAGTATTAGGGTAATGAGGAAAGAGAAGAATGGGCTTTGTGATTCCACCTCATAAGCCCATTGCTCCTTTTTACTTACAAGCCCAGTTACTGGTAGTTTTCTTGCATAAACTCTTTGCCTTTTTGACTCCTGTGATCTTTTCCCCATTTTCGTCGCTCCTTCGATATTTTCGTGGTTTACGTCGGGATGAAAAACGAATTCCGTCCCTTCACATGAAGATAACACTTAAGCGCTTCCCGGGAGAGAATATAAGCAAGACAAATTTCTTGGACGCGAGGATCTACCCTAATCTTCATTGTCTTTCTAAGAATGCCATTGGACGATGTGTAAGTTAGAATTAGATTGACGGCAGGCGACCAATCGTTCGAGGAATGTCCGTGAGACATTGAACTGTATAGTTATCCTTCTACACTCCTGTAAAGTTAACATACTTCATCCAGAGTTGGGCCTTTTTTCACGAAGAAGAAGATTGGCATTTGGACCAGCCTCTTAACTGAAGAAGAAGAAGAAGAACAATAAAACGAAGATGGGTGATATTGTCTGGAGTAATAAGATGAGATTGAGGCGATATCATCTCTTTTCTGAAGGGAGATCTCCATAGAAACCTGGAAAGTTGAATGGAGAGTCCTTCACCCCTCCCGCTTCCTTACTGACTATGTCTATTCAGATTCCAACAAGAATAAGGTTTGTTCTTCGCGGCCAGGCGCATCAAACAGTCTACGAGGACCCGAGATATATCCTCGGTTTAGCTGGAGAGATTAAGGGGCTTGTTTCGGATGAAGTGTTGTGTTTGGTTCTCAGCAATGAGATAGACTGTTGCGGGAAGATTCTCTATCTTTGGCAATACTAGAGTTGGGTCATATGGGTGTTCTTGGGTGAGTTCTGCGACATTCTATTGTGCTCAGGAGCAGCCTGCGCCCGGATAATCGAATTTTACCCTACTCTGTGATGTCAGTAAAATATAAATAGAAGGACAGAAGCATAGAGGAGAAAAACAGAGGGAGATTCAGAGAAAAAGGAATATTGATCTTTATTCCATAATGGCTCGTCTATTCGACTCATCAGGTACATTAAACTTCATAAGTTGTTTACAACTACATAATTGACTTTCAGTTAGTTCCAGATCTTTTTACATATATCACTCTGTTGAAGCTTTCACCTCTAATAAAACCTCTTCCCATCGTCTCTCTTACGCCTTTGTTTGCCAAGCTAGTGAACTTGTCTAAGTGAAACAGCATTTTCAAGTCGTGTGTGCTTTGCTGGACCCATGCACTTAGCTAAATTTATATTGGAGCTTGGCAAGAATCCAGACGAATGTATGCTTGCAGTGAGGTTATTGGATGAGCTTGAGGAAGAGGAGATTTAAATTTAAGAATGCCTTCGAATTACTTACCGAAGCAGGTAATTTGGGTTGTAAACCAGCAAATATTCTCATGGAACCTCATCTGAAATTTTCGCTAAGTAATGGAGAATTACTCACAGATTCAAGCAGTTATAGAAGGCCAATTGGTAAGATGTTATACCGTACCATTACAAGGCCAGATATCAATTATTCCCTAACTATTCTCAGTCAATTTTTGGCAGCCCAACGCACTTTCCAGCTTTAGGCAGTTTTTCATATGTTGCAGTATATTAAGCGAACTCCATAGCAAGGTATCCTATTTTCATCCAGTTCTACATTTCAACTAAAGGCCTTTGCAGACTCAAGACTGGGCACAATGTCTTGATACTAGGCGCTCCATCTTTGGTTTTTGTGCTTTTTTTGGCTCCTCACTCATCTCTTGGAAATCCAAGAAACAACACATGGTTACATGGTCATTTGCTGAAGCTGAATATCGATGTATGTCCAATACTACTTGTGAACTTATTTGGGTCCCTGCTCTCCTCAAGGATTTGAAAGTCAATCATTTAGATCCAGCTCTTATTTTTTTGTGGTAATCAAGTAGCTCTTCATATTGCTGCTAATCCTGTTTATCACGAAAGGACTAAACATATTGAAATCAACTGTCACATAGTTGGAGGAAAAATTCAAGCTGGATTTTGAAGACTTTACATATTGATAATCAACTTGCTGATATTTTTATAAGGACTTCATTCTCAATTTCATCGTCTCCTAGGTAAAATGGACATTCATGACATATACTCTCCATCTTGAAGGGAGTATTAACGGCTATTTTTGTCTTGTTATATAGTTATTTATTTTGTTACGTTGAGCTATACACTTTTTCCTTATTTTTCTGATTTCCTTCTTTTCTACCTTAGCACCATGATATAAAGTTTGTGTTGTGTTATATAATCAGTATTGAGATCATTTTCAATCCAATGAAGAGAATATGCACTTCCTCTCGTTCTAATAAAAAGATCTCCCCTCCAACTCATTCAACAACATGATCTTCCTCCATGAACCTCCTGCCTGTGGTCCTTCAGATATAAATATTTTCTTTCACCTTCCCCCTCATCTGTCCATCAAAACTAGAAACTTGCTCCTGAGATTCTCACTTAAAGGTCCTATAAAGTGTGTCTGTTACACGCCATACTCCTCAATGACACGATCATTTTCAAGGACCCCCTGCCTGCGGTCCTTCAAATATAAATATTTTCTTTCACCTTCCCCCTTGTCTCAACATCAAAACTAGAAACTTGCTTCTGAGATTCTCACCTAAAGGTCCCATGAAGTGTGTCTGTTACATGTCATACTCCTCAGCCAAGAACCATTCCCTTCTTCCTAGTAAAACTCCTGTAGTCAATCCCCCTCCTCACCCACCCCAGAAAAATGATCATGGACCGGAACCCTCTACCATTTTAGCTCAGCTTGATATTGTTTACACCTCTACCCACATTCTCTACATCAACTGACTTCTGTTCTACAACCAGAAATCTGCTGGTTGTAGAAGACGACATGGAAGCCTTCCTCTGGCAGCACAACCCAGAGTGATTCTCTGACAAACTTTCTATCTCTAAGACTTCCTCTCATGATACGGGTTCAATTGAACAGAAATGAAAGTGCTATCATGATTGGTTATAAAAGGAGTATTTTAATGATAACCATTAAAAGTAGTTATTGTGTATAATGTGCTATTGCATACTTAGCTCCATGAGAACATTTGCAACAGTTAACAAAAGGTTCAAAATGAAGGATCTTGGACCCCTTAAGTATTTCTTAGGCATGGAAGTTGCTCGTTCAGTACCTGAGATCTCTCTTTGTCAAGCCAAGTATGCCTTGGAATTACTCTCTAAAGAGAGATCTCAGGTACTGAACAAGCAACTTCTAAAGCAAGTAATTTGGGTTGTAAACCAGCAAATATTCCCATGCTTTGTAAATACTTTTACTGATACATAAATACTTTACTGAATAGAGTATTTAGGAGACCTTATTGACGTATTAATAGATACATAAATACTTTGTATATGGATTAACACCTCCTCAGTACCGGTTTTTAGTGATACTTTTATATTTTTATTTCAAAAAAAAAAAATGCGTGATACTTTCACCTAGTAAATAAGTGGACCAGTTAATTTCCTATGCACCAGAATTTATATTGTTAATTTGTGCATATGTTATTTGATGTCAATACTATTGTTTCAAGCAGTAAGGATGTGCCTAAATCAAATATTTAGTGCATATGAAGTCAATAGCTCAAGTTCTAGGAAAGGACCATTGGCCTAGTCCACTTTATGATGGACAGTTAAGGAGTAAGTTTCTTCAAAGATATGTATATATATTTGTGTGTCTGTGTCATGTAGTCAAATATTGAAGTGAAAGGACAATGCATGTAAGTTGAGGAGTTCCAATTAATTATAATCAATTCAAAGATCGAGACACGAAAAATATATGAACATATACGTTAGGAGATTACTGTGCAGATACTTTTTTGGTTGACATGTGGGTCTGAAAGCTTGCTATGCAAAGCAAGAGAATGTATAGCCAATTGCTTAAGGATGAATTGGTGGTTATGATTCGTGGCAATCTGATTATGTGCTTAGTTACGTTGAAAACCAGTTGTTTATTTATGTTTTTTTTTCGACCATGCTGTTTATATTTGTTGTATCTAAAGGATGTAATAGGTGTTGCAATCCGGAAATATTGAATTGTTGGAGTTATTGATGGCATATGTAACATGTTTAACTGTGATTAGAGGAGGTATAAATCCTGTTTTTTCTGTGGAATTTCTACAAATGGTCAAAATTGTTAAATTTTTCTAAATGGGTTTGTCCTATTTTTTCGATGCATGTTTACCTCTGGAAGGCTGCTAAACCCTTGTGACAGGGGGTGCTCTTCACTGGATGCTGGTGTATCTGGTTGATGCGCAATTCAAGGATAGCAGGATCTATTCATATGCTGAATTGTGGGAGAGGGTGACATTTTTGGCATCACTTTGGGCCAAAGGTAACTGGTTCTTTCCAGATATATTCATAAATGACTGGCAGCGTTTCTGTTTTCTAGATTTTTTTTTTCCGTTTTCAATTTTGGCTGATGGGGTTCTTTCAGTTCTTTTTTCTTTGGCGAGGTTGTTTCATCCTCCTTGGCTGTACTTTTCCTTCTCATGTTAATAATATCTTCTTCTTTTCTCAAAAAAAAAAAGAAAAGAAATTGGTAATTCTATTGTCCTTGGCATTTAAGTTTTCTTTGCTCTTATCCATGGATGGATATTCAAGTCATGTTAAACATGAACCTTATTGAGTTAAAAGTTGAAACTCTTACTTTTTCTTGCTTAATCCTATAAGCTGAATTGTGGGAAATGGGAGTATTTATCGTAAAGATGATGAGGCGACATGGATAGACACTACAGAACCTTGTGCTGTTAAGGTAATTTTACATATTCAAGAAGCCTCTTGTAAGGAACATTTGTATACTTCCATTTGTTCCTCGAGGAATGTGAAATGAGATAGCATTACGTGCATTTATGAAGACGTGCTTGATTTCCAGTGGTTCGGTTATTTAGATTCTATGTCTATGAATGCTTGTATCTGTGTAAAATTTAGTTTACCACAAGCCTTCTTGTGGTTTACTGGCCTTAAACTTACCAATTTCATAGAGCCAGCAGGATCCTAGGTTGGAGCCATGATAATGCATTATAAGTTTTAATGGCTCTACTGACATGTATCATATTCATAGCCAACTCAACATATTAGATTAAAAGTAAGTACCCCAATTACATGTAATAAATGTTGTCCGGTATAAAGTTGCCTTCTTTATTGTATACCTTATCCTGTATATGTGAATCGATAGATGGAATGGTAACCTACTTTGTTCTTAGTGCTGATTAAGATAGTTTTAATAGTGACAGGTTCATTGAGCTAGGAGTCCTACTATAACATGCCTTAACGTGTGAAAACTCTAGTCTAAATTGGAGTATAAAGCGCAAATATGACAAAGATAACCTGAAAATAAAATGAGCATGTTGAAAAGCTTGAGACCCTGTTTGAAAAAGATTGAACTGGTTAAACTGAACCAAGTTGGACAAACCAGTTGGATACGATCTCGAAACAGATCAAATCTGCCAACAGTTTTAGCGTTGGATTTGGTTATAGCACTTGTAAAAGGAAAAATAAATTTCGGATGCATCTTCATTCTTCATCTTTCTGACTTATCCTGACTAAGAAAAAGTCAACTGAAATTCTGCCTGGCATTTTATTTTTTCCAAACTACGAAGATTTTAGGACAAGAAAGGAACATAAAAAGAAGCTAGTCGTATAAACCCTTTATACTTACAGGACCATCAAATCACTACCATGGTGAATATCCGTATGAAAATACTCTTTACCTAATAGATTAAACTTTTAATCCATGTTGGTTCATTTGGTGATAGAGTGTGATAATGAAATACATAAACCCCAACATCATACAGACAGAAACAAGATGATAGATATTGTTGTATAGGCATCAACAGTTAACAACACATTTAAGTGTATGTTTTTCTCTGGATTTGGTAATTCACAGCGTGCTCCTTCCACAGACCCTTTTCTAGATACGTCTCATAAAAGCTTACTTCTCCATTTTCTTTTATGCTCAACACAGCACTGCTTCTTGTGCCATAACGGCCCTGTCCATCACATTAGGAGTTTTACATAAATAAAACTCTCTCACAAGTTTTAATTGAAGAAATTAATAGGTTAAAAGTTCTCACCAGTGGGGTATCCGTGTCCACAAATATAGAACTTTGGTTGTACTCCCAGTCAAGGGAACAAATACCTGGTAACCTGTTTTCTTCAGCTTTAACTGTGTCCTTCATCAGTTTTTCTACCACCTCCTTCACAGCTATCTCACTTGCTCCGTATTCATCCAGCAGCTCCTTAAATTTCAGTTCGAGTCGCTGAGCCTGCATGTAGAAGTATCGTATCGAACTCTTTAGGAACTGTAGCCAAGGAAAAGGATAGAAAAAACATTTTATTGAAAATTAATTCTCTGTCCTTGTCTAGAAGCCCATTTTGCTGAATGCTAAATGTAGTCAAATTTACTAATTTGGTAAGCATAGAATTTCCAATCTCCATTATGCTACAATATCAGGTTAAAGACTAATATAAACCTTATGCCCAGGGGGAGTCAAGCTTTGCATTTGAAAGTACGTGAATGCCCGGAGAAACCTGGTGAATGATAATGGGTTCTCCTTTTGGTCTATTGGAGATATAAACCATCATCTTGGAAGGTATATCAGCAACTATTAGATTAAACCCATTGTACCGATGGGTGTCTGGTGCTAATTCCTCAGCAAACTCCTTTGGACTTTTTTTGCTCTGTGAGAACAGCAAGAAGAGTGTCAAGACAAGGAAATTTAAATGATTAACACTCTGCAACATAGGTTGAAAATGGCATAGCTATGTCATATTAACACAGTATGATATAGAAACAACCGAAAGCTACGTGGAACCACGTTGATAGCTTTTTCAGGCGGATTTTTTGCAGTGAATTTAGATACCTTCAAGAAACGAAGGGGAAGGTCCCCCCTGCTCTTGACGTCAGGGAAGAAATCCAGTTCTAACACATTTGTGACAAAAGCAACTCTGCCTTGCCTTGAGCAGGCCAACCATGTCCCTCCAGCAACCTCGTCTTTACCTCCCAGTATCTCACCATCCTCCCACCATGCCAATGGCTCCGTAGGCCTTAAAAAACCACAGTAAAAACCCTTTGTTCATTATAACAAGACAACTTCACCAACATAGAACTATCACCAGAAACAAGTCAAGAAAAAAAAAAAAACAGACATACCTGTTATGGTACTCGTCTCTGTTTTGCAAGAGAAGCAGAGGGTAGAGAGGGTGAGCTTGCCAAACAAAGACAGCTATACACATTGCTGAAGCTCTGACGTCTTTTTATACGAAGCTTCTTGGAATAGGTTGATTGTATAGCCTGTTATAATGTATAAAAATGGCCGAAATTCTTTACAGGGATATCGATAAAAGAAGAAGTGAACAGAGATGAATTTATGAAGACGAGATTTTCGTAAGCGTTTTTGCTTTTGACAGATGCAGCCGCATTACCGCTATGTATAAAACCTGGGGCTGATAAGTATGTAATATTTTAACATTGTTTGTATCCACGTGTTGTTCATGTAAAAGTGATTTAACTCAGAGAACGTATGTATGTATGTAAATATGTACGTAAGTGTCTTCCCTCTTTGGTTTTACTTGACGACTTTACTGATTCTATGATAGCTGGACTAGTTCTCAACCACTTGAACATCGTGTGTTTTTGGTAAAGGCATACCTAAATGCAAAGAGGATGACTTTTGCAAAATTAGTTTTTTTTTTTTTTTTTGCCATCATTTGTGTTTCGACTAAATCTGACTCGATATAAAATTTTATTTTTCTTTCATAACTCGAGTTTCGTAAGAACATATATATCGTTATTTCGTCGGTATAAAGTACAAAAATATACAAAAAGTATTTGCTTTAACTGCGATCTGGTAAGTCATAACTAGTATTTCGTTTGATAGACAATTTGTATTACTTATAGTGAATAGACTTATTGACAATTAAACTATAGACAGAGAAAACATATAATAAAAATATACCAAAGTACAAAAATAAACATTTAGATATTAATAAATGTAAAAAAATTAAATAAAAATTGCTTAACTAATTCATAAAAATATTATAATATATACTATCATATTTTTAATTTACAATTAGTGTTTTATTAAAAAAAATATTTATATATATATTTTTTTTTAGAATGGAAGATTAGAAAAATTCTATTGATCGCAATTTTCTCCAGACCTCTGATAAAAGCATGAAAAAGAAGTTTGAACGGTACGATCTCTCCGTCACTTTAAAATGAAATGGGTAATTTTATAGGTTTTGATATGTGAAAATACGTTATTAGATAATTTATTTTTTAGTCCGATAAAATATCTATTTATTTATTTTATAAAAAAATTTAAATTGACTAGTTTAAAATATCCAAAGTTGAAAAATTAAGATGCTTTTGCTTGCTGATAAGCAAAGAATAAATTTGGATCGGCTTACATTAGTCTAATGTCAATACAACAATATATATTTATTTATTTTATTTTATATAAGAATAAATTTTTACCACAAACTTTATATTAGTTTCACTCTTTGGATATTCTTCGTACATTTTTCTTTTTTTTAATACCATAGTCAAATAAGGGTTGACATAAATTATTTAAAAAAATATATAATAAGGTGGGAATATTTACATATACATTAAATATTAAATATTTATGAATTTTATTTTAAATATTAAAAATAAACCCATTATAGTGTTCTAACAATCACATGTCATTTTGTTTTATATATTATTTTTTTAAACTATTAAAAATATAAAAAGGAGACCACCATGTCTCACAAATAAGAATTTCTAAATATTTTTCTTTCTTATATTAAAATTAATTTTTATTTATTTCATATTTTATGTCAATTGTATAATTTAATTATGTATATTTATCATTAGTATTTATTTATTTTTATTATAAAGTATTATAAATTTGAAGTAAACTCAATTTTTATATGTTCTTTTTAAAGTTCTATAATTAGTATTTATATATATTATATAATTGATGAATATATGAATTTATATATAAAATTAACTGTGTACTTGTTTTAAATTAATAACTATTTTATCTAATAAGTAGAAAAACATAATCTCTCTTGTATAAACCCTAATATAGTACCTTCATATTGACTACTGTTGCCTTTTTATCCTCTTTTGCATATGTATAGATCTTGTCATCGTTTGATTAAAATCGTTCTTTGTCAAACAAATTTATGATAGTAAAGTAATGATAGATAATGAAAACTCTGATAAAACTCGACTCCCGCATTAAAATCTAACTTCGTCAATGCTCTTAATTCTTCTCATCCAAACAATCTTTACTATATCAGTATTAACGAAAGTTTAGGTACGTTACTTATAATACAATTACTTAATTCAAACAACTATTATACTTAAGTAAGATTTATAATGCATGCTCTTCATATCAAAAATAAATTAAGATTTATTGATGGACATTAAAAAAAAACTGGTAGATCCAATTAGTCAACTTATGGAACATTTACTAAAACGTAATAATATACTTATTACCTGAATACAAAATGCATTATCAGCTAGCGTTAAGTATAACACATTTTATCGATATACGACTCACTAACTGAGGGCCAAATTTAAATAGAAAAATACACAGCACAATACATTTATAATATACGAGATGAAACAGGCAATAACAACCTAAAAGTATAATTAAGACACTGTAAGTATTTACTTTTTAAAACTGAAAGTTGTTATTTGATGAGTTGTTAAATTATGAATTAATTGCAAACTGTATGCGCAAAAGGTCGATAAGTATACTCGATAACACAAATATTATTGATAACTAACACTATTTGGCATATGATATGAGGAGGAATGATGTGGTCAATTTTATTTTATTTTTTTTATAAAGTGTATATATGATTGTATTATATATTTTAGAATTCATATACTATCATTTTTATTTATAATTTGATTAATTAGATATACTTTATGTGAAAAATATTGTATGAATTTATCATGATAATTTCGAATAAAATATGGACATTTGAAGTATATATTTTTTCAAAATTTATTATTTATGTAATCACATTGTTATATTTGTTAGATATATTATTAATAATAATGATTTACTTATACAAATTTAAAAAATACACGTTATATTTTAATACGAAAATACTATAAAATTTACTCCGAATAATTTTAAATAGTACATAAAACGCATAAGGTATGCGTTCCGTTTTAAGTAGCAAAAAAATCTATTTAGTGGGCTAAGTGTTTTAGAACAATAAATTAATCTATTCACTAATTAAAACTTGAAAGTTAAAAATTATCAGATTTAGATTCTAAATGTGTTTTACGGTGGAAGATTCTACTGATTTGAATCACAATTAGTTATTAAAATAATAATTATAAATTAATTAATTGAGATTAGTTATGGCAAGAAGGTTTAATTAAAAATAAATGAAAAAGAAAATGAAAAGAGGCGAGGAAGGCATTAGAAGGAAAACAAACATCCAGCCAGTTAAATTGCAGCACGTGTCAACATCTGTCAGTTTCACGTGACTTTTAGCCTCCACGTCGGTAGCGCCGTGTGATTCACACGTGCCAAGTCTATATATCAAAAAACTAAAATAAAAATAAACGGAAAAAACAAACTAAACGCCTGCTTAGAGAGAGAGAGAGAGAGAGAGAAAGAGAGGGAGAGAGAGGGAGAAAAAGGAGGAGGAAACAATGGGTGAGGTAGCAGAGACAATGACGAAGAAGAAGAAGAAAAAGGGACGGCCTTCTCTTCTAGACCTTCAAAAACGCTCTCTCAAGCAACAGCAACAGGAGCAGCAACAGCAGGAGGAACAACAGAAGCGACAACAAATTCCCAATTTCAAAAACCCTAATTCTCTCAATTTAACTCCTACCCCCAGCCGCCGATCCGCTCGCCGGAACCCTAGCCGCTACGGTCTTTCTACGGCATCAGGGTGGGTTGACGATGACGAGGATGAGCGAAAAGAAAAGAAGCACAAGCTATTGCTTGGATTGAATTCTCACAATCATCAGCATTTGTCGGCATCGTCTGCGAATTCTTCGGGTCCGAATTCTCTATCGTACGGTTCTGATCCAAATGGGGATGACGGTGGTGAGAATCCTGAAGAATCCCTCAAGCGGCGCAAGATCAACGCCGTCCGTCACGGATCTGGTGAAATGGTGATGATCAATTTTTCCTGTGATGGTTTTTTATGCGTTTTTTTTTTTTGGAGTTTATTAATGTTTATCTGAAAACAGGTTTTAGTTCTTTTTTTTTTCTCGATGTTTTTGTTACATAAATGGGATTTGAATGATTTTGGGATTTCGCGCGTTATTGAAGACATGGCCGGATCAGAAGTGAGTGGATGAGTTTGACTTGGTCAGGGTATTTTTGTGTGGGTATTTATTAACTAACTTTTTTTTTTTGTTTTTGTGGAAATCCTGGGGGTTGATTTGTTTCAATTTCTCCTTCTTGTTTATTTCTTAATTTTTGTTTTCCATTATTATTTTATTGTTTGATTCTTTGTATTTAATCGTGCCGGAAATAATAGACGCACTGCATAGAGACCATGATGTCTGAAAAGTTTGGATTTGTCTTTTCTTTAATAATTCTGAGTTTATTTTCACTATGTACTTCATGGCCTTTTACTGTGACTTTCCTAATTGATTCTTGATAAAATGCCTATAGTAACAAATTTTCCCCTTTTACAAAATTCGGGTGATTAATGTAACTGATAATGAACTAATTTTCTCGCAGGGAGAAAAGGTCTCGAAAGCAACAGACACTCTGCATGGTATAAATCAATCTCGATTCATGAAAAGGCATTTATAAGAATTTTTTTTAAAAAAAAGGTGTATTCCGGTGATTTATTAAGTTAAAATAATTTATGCCATTTATATGTGGACAGGGTCACCGGTGGAGTCCGGCCCCACGACACCTTTGCCAGACAAAAAGTTGTTGATGTTCGTTCTTGACAGGCTTCAAAAGTACATCGCATTTTTTAGTTCCCTATAATTTTACTTACCTTTTCCTCCTTGTGCGCTTGAACTTGTATGCGCCAGGTTGGTTTTATTGGGTACTGATCAGTTTACCTTTAACTTACCTGTAGGAAGGACACTTATGGGGTCTTTTCAGAGCCCGTGGATCCCGAAGAGGTACATTTCTCTTGACCACATTGTGTTTATGCGTTTTAATTGAAGTTCCATTTTCTTGATTCCTTTCTTGGTTGGTTTTTTTTTTTGCTACAGCTTCCTGATTACCATGACATTATTGCACACCCGATGGATTTTGGAACTGTGAGGAAAAAGCTGGATGGAGGAGATTATGCTAACTTGGAACAATTTGAGGTTGGTTTGGGAAATGAATTGTATGCTTAATTTAGTTGCAAGTTGGTTGACTATTTTCTCTGCAGTTAACTTGAACGTGCCTCT